CTAGGACACTGCCATCCCTGCAGAAGGCCAAAGCGTACACAGTGTCCGAGTGGTCAGTGAGTTCAGCCACCAGGTGTCCGTGCCGCAGCTCCCACATCAAGACCCTGCCATCAGCACCGCCAGAGGCTAAGTAATGACCATTGGGAGAGACGCATAGGACCTGAATGGGACCCTGCAGGGATGAGAAGTCGTGGACTTTTATTCACGAGAGCTAGGGGACTGGACCTCACATTGCGTTCAGAGAACAGGCAAAAATCCCAAAATCATTAAGTGTTATTTTTGGAAAAAAATACAACATTTGGCAGAAGAGAGACAAGATATACTCTTAAACATACAGCCAAATGCCACAAATTCTTATCAGAGCCCGGTTTCACAGTGAGCGCGGCTTACTGTTAAGTAAGTTATTTTGCTAACAGCACAGAATATCAACCAAGTAGTCATACACTGGTGACACAAAATGCACATACACAGTGCATGAACTTTCAAGGTTAACATTATTATGTTTCATAGTGCTGGCAAGGGTAATTAAAGCACTTTGCTCATGGGGTTTTTCTTAGTATCAATGTTTGCCTGCTTGTTTCTGCTCCGAACTTTCAAAAATTTGGTACCATTAAGGGAAATGCATTTTCAAGAAAAAACAGATTTTAGAATGGCAATATATTGTGCTTGTAAGGAATTTCTTCATCAACCCAGTTGAACGATAAACCGTTCAAACATCCCTTTAGAAATAAGTTATTCTGTCAAATCAGTAAGGTATTCACAGGAAAACTCAAAGTCAAGATACAACCTTTGGTATGCTAAGGGCATAAGATGTACAACAATATGCCACTGTTGGGTTGTTTTTATTATTATTGGCAGGTCAACTGTCTTAGCAAAGCAAGCCAATCACCTTGGTCATGGGTAGGTAGTTAAGTGTTTGATAAAGGATTACAGGGTAATTGTTTGGTGATGGGGCTCTTAAAGATAAAAAGCTGGGAAAGGTGTTGAAAGGGAAGTAGCGAAAGAAACAGTGGCAATCTGGCCTCTCTCTAGTGGAGTCCGGTGCAGATTAGGGGTCTCAAACCCCAACCCTCCCCCAATACCTATAAAAAAAAAAAGAGTAAACAACTGTAGTACTACTAAACAGATCTCATCCTGTTAGGGTCATTATTTGTACATGGCGTTAGGAACAGAAGCTTAGCTACCTGTATAAATGCTAGTGTGTCAGTAACAATGACAGAATTTGCTACGCGTCTGCAGCGATGCCAACTTTTCAAAATGAGAAAGTATAATCCAATCGCACTACCAGTTCCGGTTTCCCGACTGACCCTAATTCTTCGGCGCAACCCTAAAAATATCACCGGCAAATTAGAAAAGAATGAAATGAAATAAAACAAAGTTTAAAATAATTCTGTTGAAACTTCGAATTCTTTGTTTCGAGCCTTCAAAAATCCTATCAAAACAAACAAAAATAAACCCTTCTCTTCTTTTCTTAGAGATACTATCTCGCCGCGGCGAGTTATTATCTCGCCGCGGCGAGTTAGCTAAAACTAGCTCAATTTGCTGCATATTAAGACTCAGTCTGGATACCAGACCCAATGATTCCGACTACTCTTCTAATCAAAGGTCCTGTATCAGCCAATGTCCACGTGACCAATACTCCAGCAGATTTCCGGGAATAGTCTAACTATTCCGAACTTATCCTGTCCATATTAAATTCAGTTTAAAGTGAACACTTTTTCTTTGATGGTCCTCAAACTTGTAACATTCGTTGCAAAGATTAAAATGAATAAAATTGGTAGCCAAATGAGTAACGGGAGAAGAAAAAGACCGTTCAGATGGTATCGGTAATATTTGGGCATACATTTTTTTCAAGATTCGAATGAAGTTTTACAGAGTGGATGAATTTTCATTGACGTAGCGTATTTTCTAGATTCCAAGGAATTATCAAAGAACGTAATTTTTTTACAGAGCGAACATTTTTCAAAATTGGAACGAATTTTTAAAGCCCAACTTTTTAGATCGAAACAAATTTTTTTCTAGCGAAAGACTGAACGTATTTTGGAAATGGGAACACTTTTCAGCGTAAAGCAGCTGTTCAGATCACGCATTTTACACAAAATCTCATGCATGCGATCCTGAATATAATGAGAAAGCATCCAAATTAACATGAATCCCAATTAATAAGCAACTACAAATAAAAGCAACTTGTGAAAACTACGTTAAAACAATCTTGGAAAATTATGCTGCACTTGTCAGTAAATATCCTTGAAGTACTATGAGGCTTTCGCAGAATATCGTCTAAAAGATGGAATACTTTTTATGCGCGGCTTTGGATGCTTTCTCTCTTCGGATGCTTTCTTGGATCAGATAATTTCTCACTTCCGATGCTTTCTTAATTCGGATAAAGTGAGATTTCCGTAAATACATAAGCCGTTAGGTTGTAAAAAATGTCTAAATGTCAAAAAATGTTTACATTGTAAAGTTTTTGCTCTATTTTTAAAGAATTTCGAGCTTTAAATATTCATTCAAACCTAGATATTACGTTGTGTATATAAAAATCAATATAAGAAAACATTTTCCAATATTTCGACCTTAATTCTACTTTGTAGTTGATGGTGTGCTCCGACCGGTATACCATGGACAATTCACAAAATTCGTGGTACAGACGAGGCCGGAAAAGCCCGAATATCAACGATACCATCCGAATGGTGTGTTTACTCTCCCCTTTCATTTGGCTACCAATTAAGTTCGGAATGGTTTGAATATTCCCAGAGATCTGGGAGAGTGTTGGTCACGTAGACGTTGGGTGATACAGGACCCATGTTAAGAAGAGTAGTCGGAATCATTGGGTCTGGTATCCAGACTGAGCCTTAATATGCAGGAGTTGTACTAGTTTTAGCTAACCGGCCGCGGCGAGATAGTAACTCGAAATTTTCTTTTGCAAGTGGCCTTATACGCTTCCGTATCAATCCATAATGCAACACGTACATTGTACATGTGCGATGGTGTACCATTGACTTTTGTATACGTGCCCATAGCCTATTGTTCACTGGAATACACAGCTGTACATGGGTGTTTACCTTTGCCATTCTATCGCTTCTACTTTAGGATGAATTTGTCATCTAGTCTGGTCACAGTCTTATTTGAAACACCATACTAACAAATATCTAGCTCACAAAACAACACGGAGACCTGAGAATCCTCCATGGCTGTGATGGCAGAACAGCAAACCAAGGCATTTTCAATTTGCTCCCTTCACGATCGCCCAGAATTAATCGACTCGTGTGCACAACTCTTGAAAATCACCTGGCCCTGTTCCAAACCAGATAGGCTGCATCAACTAACTGCCGAGGAACAGAGCGGTCCACCATGCTCTCTTGTCCTCATCGAGCACGGGGAGGACACCCCGGATACTGTCATAGGACACGTAAGGCTAGTCACTGTGACCCATCCCAAGACGCCCCGAGGTGCTTACCTGGAGGCCGTGTGCATAAGTCCATCCAAGCACGGTTTGGGGCTTGGGCGCAAGATGCTACTGCTGGCTGAGGAATATGCACACGAGACGTTGGGATGTGAGCAGATGTTTTTGATCTGCGCCCAATCATTAGTGGGTTTCTACGAACGCCTCTCGTACCAGGTGTACCCAGTATTGACACTTGAAACAGAGGGTGCAAATTTGCTGTCGCATGTTGACCAAGCAGCCACGTGGTACGGGAATCATCCAAGAAAAAACTGGGAGTGGGTCTATCTTGAGGGCCCGTGCATCTCCAAGGATGACTTGAGACAACAAACACCCAGCAAAGTGAAAATGGTAAAATATTTTACTACAGTAAAATGATAAGCCGAAGAAATCTGTCAGAACTACAACTTCACTGTTTTCATCTGGTTATTCCTTTTGATGTTCTAATAAGTATGGATTTATTTTGACCTGGTACTAGGAGACCATCAATCAGTCAAACATGAAGTTGGCAGATTCCATCACTTGGGTTCAGTTCAGTTTCTTTCAATTAAAACACACAGATGACCGTCAGACAGGTTATCATATTCAAAGCAAAGAAACAACTGCACTTAGGAAATGTAAATATGTTAAAGCCTTCATTGCCGGGGAAAATGATAACAGTGTTTCAAGCGTATAGGTTTGGGTTTTAGTTCACTCAAAGCCCAGCAGAAAGGACTGACATATATTTCCCCTTTATTCACATATGGAATTGAGCACTCAGTGCACTCTTGTATTGAGCGTGAACAAATCCGGTAAACCTTAACAACCTTTCTGAGCATAATGAAAGTCGTATTGTATCCCATCCTACATTCATGGTTGTTTGTAAGGACTGTCACGCCATATTTCGTAAAGTTCTACACATGTATTTACTTAGCATCAACCAGGTTGACTGTCATTTCCGCTATTTCTACAGCAACCAATATCTACCAGTTAAAATGATTAATGTGGATCTCTACCATTTTAGCAAATATATGTACAAATTTATATTATTTAGGCCTACTTCGGGGATGTAATGCCATGCATTCTAAGAATCTTTATAATGGTGGTCAGACTTTGTCAAGTCTAGCGTTCTCTCAGGTTTCCACACCACGCACTTTCTCACAAACCTCGAGTGTTCCTACTCGTTTAACATAGTCCCAACATTATATTTAAATTGTTGTATTTTCTGTGTAGAGTCGCCCCAGTGGTTGTTCATTGTCATAATCATAAATTAATCCTATCCTTATCAATATTAGTTTGCAACAACGGGTTTTAGTCCATTAATTCCTACCAGACATGAACGTATTGTTTTATGCTAGTACACGACGTACTTCGCCTTGCCGTACGTGACAATCTGCCTCTCTCTAGCAGTTTGTTGTGGCAGAACCTGAACTCTGTAGACAGAGCAGGTTGCACAGTGCTCTTTTATCCTTTAGTCTATCCTTTAATAATCCTTTTATCCCTTTGCCCACTAGCTCTGCCATATCTTATTACCTAACTTTTTATTCTTGCAATTACCAAGGCCTAAGACTTTTTTTCCATTACTGCTCAATCAATCCATATCATTGACAACTCCATTTATTAGCGTCCACAATTGTGTAAATTTTCTATTTCTTAATATTGGGGCAATCCTAAATTTCTCAACGTGATTTCAAATAGAAATAAATCAACTCTAATATACAGTGAGAATCATTCTTTGTGCCAATTCTTGATCTTTATTTGGAGTATCTTAATCGCCGGAGAGATCAATCCCTAACTTAAAACTTAGGCGTACCCAATCACCGTAGGGTATCACCACCCCACGTATGAACGTGACCAGGTGACATTAATATTCTCAATAGTAGACGCTCAGGTTCCATCTGCTGTGATTGGTTATGCAGCTACAACTCATCAATCAGAATCATGCACTCGATAGTTTCAACTTTAATCACACATCTATCAATTAGAAATAAAAGATTCGTCTTGGCCCTCATTTTGCCCTTAAAGGTGGTGCACAAGATTTCCATTCGTTGTACTTTTTCAAAATGGGCTATTTTGTGTATCATCTCAATGACTCGCTTTCTTGGTGAGTTCACGTGTGCTCCGAGATAAATTATATCTAAATAAATCTAGCTTTGTGTTGAGGCCGGCAAGAAAATACATTCAAGTCTGTGTCACTTCCTCTAACCAGGATATACTGCCGATTCATCTCATGAACAACGACTCACCATGTAGTTAAACGACCGCAAGTCACACGCTGCCAGTGTACAGCACAGCCATTAACCACTTCATAAATCAACACATGATGACAACCCGAGCCCTTGCACTCTTGGCAAAGAAGTTGCGACCAAAAAAAAAAAAAACAGAGGAGGTTAAATGTATTAAATTTTTGTGGATTTTGTTGAAGAAAACAGGCTACCCATTTTCTCCAAGGAATGATAAATTAGAGTGTTTCTCTTGCAATTTCGGTGATGGAATGCGTAACATCTTTTAACATGTAAAAACGTTGAAATCGTACATTACAAAGATGAACAAAGAAACTGACTGGAGCAGGATTTGAACATGCGACTTCCAGAATACCGTACCAGTGCTCCACCAACTGAGGTATCCAGCCTTACATTACGGTGGCCCTTCCCATTTGTCAACATCTTTAATCAGGGGCTCTGGTCAGAAGCCATATGGAACAACAAACATCATACACATTGTAATTTCAACTTTAATTTCACACCTGTAACATGTCTAGCTCTTCGTTTTTCCCTCAAGAGAACAACTGAATGTGTCTTCAAAAGAAGAGACAAGATATATACTCTTAAACATACAACCAAATGCCACAAATGCTCATCAGAGTCCAGTTTCACAGCGCGGCTTACTGTTAAGTAAATTATTTTGCTTAAAACACAGAATATCAACAAAGTAGTCATACACTGGTGACACAGAATGCACATACACAGTGCATGAATTTTCAAGGTTAACATTATTATGTTTCATAGTGCTGGCAAGGGCAATTAAAGCACTTCACACAAAATCAACTTTGCTCATGGGGTTTTTTTTAGTATCAATGTTTGCCTGCTTGTTTCTGCTCCAAACTTTCAAATAATTCGGTACCATTAAGGGAAATGCGTTTTCAAGAGAAAACAGATTTTAGAATGGCAATAAGTAGTGCTTGTAAGGAATTTTTTCATCAACCCAGTTGAACGATAAACCATTCAAACATCCCTTTAGAAATAAGTTATTCTGTCAAATCAGTAAGGTATTCACAGGAAAACTCAAAGTCAAGATACAACCTTTGGTATGCTAGGGCCATAGCATGTATCACAATATGCCACTGTTGGGTTGTTTTTTTATTATTGGCAGGTCAACTGTCTTAGCAAAGCAAGCCAATCACCTCGGTCATGGGTAGGTAGTGAAGTGTTTGATAAAGGATTACAGGATAATTGTTTGGTGATGGGACTCTTAAAGATAAAAAGCTGGGAAAGGTGTTGAAATAGCAGTAGCGAAAGAAACAGTGGCAATCTGGCCTCTCTCTAGTGGAGTCCGGTGCAGATTAGGGGTCTCAAACCCCAACCCTCCCTCAACACCCATTTGTTTTTAAAGTAAACAACTGTAGTACTACTAAATAGATCTCATCCTGTAAGGGTCATTATTTGTACATGGCATTAGGAACAGAAGCTTAGCTACCTGTATCAATGTAAGTGTGTCAGTAACAATGACAGAATTTGCTATGCGTCTGCAGCGATGCCAACTTTTCAAAATGAGAAAGTATAATCCAATCGCACTACCAGTTCCGGTTTCCCGACTGACCCTAATTTTTCGGCGCAACCCTAAAAATATCACCGGCAAATTAGAAAAGAATGAAACGAAATAAAACAAAGTTTTAAAAAATTCTGTTGAAACATGGAATTCTTTGTTTGGAGTCTTCAAAAACCCCATCAAAACAAAAATAAACTATTCTCTTCTTCTCTTCGAGATACTATCTCGCCGCGGCGAGTTATTATCTCGTCGTGGCTAGTTAGCTAAAACTAGCTCAACTTGCTGCATATTAAGACTCAGTCTGGATACCAGACCCAATGATTCCGACTACTCCTCTGATCAAGGGTCCTGTATCAGCCAATGTCCACGTGACCAATACTCCTGCAGGTTTCCGGGAATAGTTGAACTATTCCGAACTTATCCTGTCCATATTAAATTCAATTTAAAGTGAACACTTTTTCTTTGATGGTCCTCAAACTTGTAACATTCGTTGCAAAGATTAAAATGAATAAAATTGGTAGCCAAATGAGTAACGGGAGAAGAAAAAGACCGTTCAGATGGTATCGGTAATATTTGGGCATTTCCGGCCGCGTTTGTACCAAGAATTTTGCGAACTGTCCGGGTTACATCGATCGGAGTACTCCCCAATTACAAAGCAGAACTAGGGTCGAAAAGATTGGAACATGTTTTGATAAATGGAAAACATTGTTTTTAAATTGATCGTGTTTTAAAGCGAATGTCATTTTTTTTAAATCGTATTTTAGAAATTTGGCGTAGATTTTCCCAAAGCAGAACGAAATTTTAAGGATCTAATAGATTTCTTTCTAGATTCGAATGAAGTTTTAAAGAGTGGATGAATTTTCATTGGCGTAGCGTATTTTCTAGATTCCAAAGGAATTATCAAAGAACGTAATTTTTACAAAGCCAACATTTTTCCAAATTGGAACGAATTTTTAAAGCCCAACTTTTTTAGATCAAACAAAATTTTTTGTAGCGAAAGACTGAACGTATTTTGGAAATAGGAACACTTTTTCAGCGTAAAGCAGCTGTTCAGATCACACATTTTACAGAAAATTTCATGCATGCGATCCTGAATATAATGAGAAAGCATCCAAATTAACATGAATCCCAATTAATAAGCAACTACAAATAAAAGCAACTTGTGAAAAATACGTTAAAATAATCTTGGAAAATTATGCTGCACTTTTCAATAAATATCCTTGAAGTACTATGAGGCTTCCGCAGAATATGCGCGGCTTTGGATGCTTTCTCTATTCGGATGCTCTTCGGATCTGATAATTTCTCAATTCCGATGCTTTCTTAATTCGGATAAAGTGAGATTTCCGTAAATACATAAGCCGTTACGTTGTAAAAATGTCTAAATGTCAAAAAAATGTTTACATTGTAAAGTTTTTGCTCTATTTTTAAAGAATTTCGAACTTTAAATATTCATTCAAACCTAGATATTACGTTGTGTATATAAAAATTCATTCGATTCAGAATCTAAAAAAGAAATGAGACCCTTAAGATTTTGCTCGGTTTTTGAAAAATATATACTAAACTTCTAAAAAACGAGCCTCCTAAAAATGATAATCGCTTAAAGCAAATTAAATTTAAAACTAAAATGCAATCAATTTAACAAAACATTTTTCAATTTAACAAAAACATTTTCCAATGTTTTGACCCTAATTCTACTTTGTAGTTGATGGTGTGCTCCGACCGGTATACCATGGACAATTCACAAAATTCGTGGTACAGACGAGGCTGGAAAAGCCCGAATATCAACGATACCATCCGAATGGTGTGTTTACTCTCCCCTTTCATTTGGCTACCAATTAAGTTCGGAATGGTTTGAATATTCCCAGAGATCTGGGAGAGTGTTGGTCACGTGGACGTTGGGTGATACAGGACCCATGTTAAGAAGAGTAGTCGGAATCATTGGGTCTGGTATCCAGACTGAGCCTTAATATGCAGGAGTTGAACTAGTTTTAACTAACTGGCCGCGGCGAGATAGTAACTCGAAATTTTCTTTTGCAAGTGACCCTTATATGCTTCCGTATCAATCCATAATGCAACACGTACATTGTACATGTGCGATGGTGTACCATTGACTTGTATACGTGCGTGCCCACAGCATGTTGTTCATAGGCATACTCAGCTGTATATGGGTGTTTACCTGCACCGTTCTATCGCTTCTACTTTGGGATGAATTGGTCATCTAGTCTGGTCACAGTCTTATTGGAAACACCATACTAACAAATATCTAGTT